AAGTGTAGTTTTCTTACTAAACTTTTTTTTTAAAATTAAAGTAGAAAATTATTTAATATTAATAAAGGTATTACTAGCTGAAATTGAATTAAATAAACTATTAAATTATTTTAAAGTTTTTTACTTTCTATATTAATAAAAATAAGTTTACAATATAATAAATAAACTCATAAATATATTAGTTAAATTTTACCTGCTACAATTTTAAAAATAAATTTAAATTTTATAAATTCTTTATTACACACTTTTTTAAAAAATAAATTATTGAAAGAAAACACTATTATATTTTTTTACTCGCTTATTTTATAAATAATAAATGATTGTTTTGTTATAAAATATATTACAAGCTTTTTTATTCATTATTTTTTAAATAAATAAAAAAAAAATACACACTAGATTTTTTAAAAATATAGATAAAATATTTTTTATAATTAAAATCAAATAATACTTGCTTTTAAGATTAGTTGAAACAATTGGATAAAATATTTTAATTTTACATACTATTAATAATTAAAAAAAATAATAATTCAAAATAAAATTACTGTCTAAATTTATTAAAAATATTATGAATAATTTTTTAAAAAAATGATTTTACACACTATTTAACATATTTTTCAAGATATATAGTAAATATAATTTTACAGGCTTTTAAATTATATATATAAAATTTTAAATTAATAAATCATTTTAATAATTACGTTATTCTTTTTGATTATCAATAAATATATATTCTATATGTTTTATATTAAATACATACTATAATTTATTATATAAATATATAAATAATTAAAAAAAAAAATTAATATTAACTGACTAATCAAAATTATATATTAATAAATATATTTGACAAAATATTTATTTAAATTAAAATCAAATCAATTATATTTAATTAAATATAAATTTTTTAGTTTTTACTGTTATCTATGATAATTAAATTTAATTATTTATAAATATTTATTCATTAATAAAATTATTATAAACTTACTGTATTCTATATTTATTTTAAATAAAAAATCGTACATGTGTAATTTTTTTAAAAAAATATTTATTTTATATATTTAAATATTTACTGTCTTTTTTTATAATTGTTATACAAAGTTATTATAAAAAAATAATCATTTTATACGCACTAAATAATATTAATTAATTTATAAGAAATAGTTAATAATAATACTTCCTAAATATAAAATTTTATTTAAATATAATATAAATTTATTACATCCTATATAAAAATGGTATTAATAAGTAAAAAAAAAAATGTACGCACTATAAAATAATAATTTTTTTTTTATAAAAAAATAAAATATTACAATCTTTTTCTAGATTAAAATAAGAAAATCATTAAAATTACATACTATTAATATAAATTATTATCATATTATCTATTAATATTTTACTTTGTGCTAAATTATAAATTAAAAAAGAATTAAAATATTTTTTAATATAAAAATACTTCCTTATTATGAAAAAATATGATGTGATCAAAAGTTAAAAAAACTTCTCAAAAAAAAAATAAAAAAAAATATTTTTATTAATAGTAGAAAAATAAATATATTAAATATAATATATTTATAAAAAGATTTTTTTTACTAAACATCCTATAAATAAAATTGTTAATTAAAATAAAAAAATTATAAAAATAAAATTACTTTAATTTAAAATAAAAAATTATAATCTTAATATTATAAAAATGATTTATTAATATATTTAACAGTTCAACTATTTTTATTATTAATTTATAGTATAATAAATATATATTTACGAACTAATAAGAATAAATTTAAGGAATTTATATATTAATATTTACACACTTTAAAATTAAAATATATTTAAACTAAAAATCTTTTGTGTTTTATATTACTGTCTATTTTTAATAAAAAATTGAAAATTTTAAACTAAAGATAATATTCTATTTAATATTACATTCTATATTTTATTAAAAATTGTTAAGTAAACTAAAAATACTATTTATTTTAATATTACTCCCTGTTTTAAATATATTATTGATAAATTTTAACTAAAAATTCTAATTAATTTTATATTACTTTCTATTTTTAATACAATAAAGTTAAAATAAAAATAAAAATAAAAATCCTATTTAATATTAATTACATACTATTTTTAATAAAAAATTTGTAAAAATAAACACAAAAAGTAAATTTATTTAATATTACATACTATATTTATTAATTTTTTTTTTTTCAAAAAAAAAATGCTCTTTTATTTATTATTACATACTATTTTTATAAAAATAGTTATTTTAAAACTATAAATATCAAATAAAATATTACACTCTATATTTTAATAAAAATAGATAAATATAAACTAAAAATACTATATAATTTAATATTACTCCCTATTTTTAATAAAAATACATTTTGAAATAAAAATGAATTAATTTTATATTACCCACTATTTTTAATATAATATTATTATAAATTAAGTTTAAAAATATTTTGATTTTTAATATTACATACTATTTTCAATAAAAAAACGATAAATAAATTTAAAAATGCTATTTATTTTTAATATTACATACTATATTTTATTAAAAATAAATTTAAACTAAAATTGTTATTTTATTTAATAATACAACCTATTTTTAATAAAATAATAAATAAATATTAACTAATTATACTATCTTTTAATATTACTGCCTATTTAATATAAAATAAATTAATTTAATCTAAAAATGCTTTTTTATTTATTATTACTTCCTTATTTTTATTAATAATTTAAATTAAAATTTTATTCTATTTAGTTTTTATTACACCCTAGTTTTAAATATAAATTTAAATAAAATGTTATTAATTTTAATAATACAAACTATTATAATAAAAAATTAATAAATTTATTCTAAAAATCAAATTTATATGTAATATTACATACTATTTTTTATATATAAAAATTTTAAACATTATTATTAATATAATATTTTATTTAATATTACATACTATATTATTAAAAACGATTAATTATAAACTAAAACTATCTTTTATTTTATTTTACTGACTATTTTAATAAAAAAATAAAAATTTTAATCTAAAGATAATATTCTATTGAATATTACATACTATATTTTATTAAAAATAAATCAATTAAAAATAAAAATGATATTTATTTATTATTACTCCCTGTTTTTTATATATTATTGATAAATTTTGACTAAAAATCCTAAGTAATTTTATATTTACTTTCTATTTTTAATACAATAAATTTAAATTAAAACTAAAAATTCTATTTTATTTAAAATTACATACTAATTTTAATAAAAAATTTATAAAAATAAAATAAAAAGCAAATTTATTTTATATTACATACTAAATTTATTATAAATTAATAATTTTTCTCTATTTTTATTTACTTACTAATTTTTATGAATATTTTTTTTTTAATTAAATTATTATTTTTTTAATAATTTTACAGTCTATTTTTATTTATTTTTATTTTTTTCGACTTTTCTTTATATTTTTACACACTTTTTATTGTATTTTAGTATTTATTTAAAATACATATTATTTATATATTATTTTTACATCCTTAATCTTTATTATTATTTTAAAGAAATAATTTTTATTTTCATTATTTATTTTTTATATACTCTCTATAAGAATAAATTTAAACTAATTATTTTTAAATTATATTTACCTTTTCATATAAAAGTATATATTTCAATTTTTATTAATATTAGTTTTTAGTATTTATTTTACGCACTAATATATTTATTTTTATATAAATTTTTAATAATTATATTTTATCTTTACAAGCTTTTATTTAATTAATTTTTTTTATTATTTTAATTATTATTTTTTTTAATCATACTTGCTATTAAAAATTTAATTATTATGTTTTAAGTTTTAATTTACGCACTTTTTTTATTTTATTATAAATTATATTTATAAATATTTTAATATTATATATTACAATCTTTTTATTATATTTTTTTTTTTCTAGTTCGTTTAAATATTTATTTATTCATTACATCCTTAAATATTTTTATACAATGTATTGACTTTAATATATTTTACGCCCTTTTATTTTTAATTATATTTTTTATTATTTATAAAAAAATTTCTATATTTTTATTTACATACTATCAAATTAATTATATTTAATTTATTTATATATAAATTGATTCATACTTTCTATTTTTTAATTATAAAAAATATATTTTTATTGAAGCAAATTTTTTATTTTTTATTTATTACACACTATATTAATAAAATAAAATCTAAAAATACTTTTTTACATTCTTTTATTTTTATTAAAATTAATTTTTTTAAAATATAAATAAAATGTTTACCTGCAATAAATAAAAAATGTTTTTAAAAGGTTTATAATAATAGGCTAATTTTTTTTACGCACTATTTTAAATGAAAAAATATTATGTATTCGATTTGTATAAATTAAGTTTTTTTTATATATATTTTTTGCATATTTTTAGCATGTTATTTTATATAAAAAATACTATGCTTAAGATCTAATGTAGCTATAAACAAATAATAAGAAGTAGTAGCTAAATGTATATCTTAAAGTTATATTTTTTAATTATTATAATATATAATAATATTTTTTCAACCTTTGACATCCTTTCTATAAATCTATAAAACTATATTTTTTATTTTTTAATAAATAATTATATTAATAATAAAAAAGACATAAATAAAAAATCATAGATACTATATAAAATATATATAAATATAATAATTATAATATTTATATTTTATAAATAATATATAATTATGATAATTTTTATTTATTTTTTATGCTTTTATATTACTCACATATCAATATATGTATAGCATAAATAGTCAATATATACATTTTTTATTATTATTAGACTAATAATAAATAAACTAATTATAAAAAAATATTATTTTAATGATTAATTATTAATAATTTATTTATAAATAATATGTATCATATTATAAAATTAAATATATGTATTTAATATATTATATATTTATAATAATTCGACATATAATTTTATTAATTATAAATTTTTTATTAATTTATTTTTATAATTAACAAAAAATAAAATTTACTAATTGCGTAATCATTATATGATATATATATTATTATAATTTTTATATTTATATTTATATTTTTATATTTTTATTTTATTATATTATATTAATATTAAATAAAAGTAATATATTAGATATATGATTTTATTTAAAAACAAATCCAAAATATTTAATATAGAAAATAATTAAAATTTCTTTATATATAATAATTTAAAAAATTATTATATAATACTTAAAAAAATTATTTTAATAATATTAATTAAACAAAATATTATCTAAATTATATTTAGAATTTTATAAGCCATTTATATATATATTTTTATTTGTTAAAATAAAAACTATAATTAAACAAAATAATTAAAAAATAAAACAAAAATAATACTCTAAATAAAAACCCTGCTCCAAAACATATCATTATTAATCCACAAATTTACGGGCATCAAATAATAACGGAAAAAATACCTATTAAAAATAGTGTTTTAAGTAAAACAATTGTTTTAATTATGATTAGATAGGTACTTTAAGGTCTTACGAAATTTGTTTATATGCTTTTTACTATATAGAAAAATAAAAACAGAAGAAAAAAAAATTCAATACAATAAAATATGTTTAGTTTTATATTAGAATAATAAATAAGTGATTAGTTTTTACATTTTCATATTAAAAAGTTTTAAATAATAATAATTTTTATAATATAAAGCTTTTTTATTATATATATTAAAATAATAATAATAATAATAATAATAATAATAATAATAATAATAATAATAATAATAAAATTATTAATTAATTGACTTTTTTAGACTATCTTTAATGATTAATACCTCTTCTAGCCTTTTGCATTAAAATTGAAAGCTCTGGATTATATTTACTGGTTTTACCTAATTATTATTTCATTTCGTTATTATGTGAAATAAGCATATATGAAATAAATTATGGATTAGGAAAAGATTTAGATGTCAAATTAATTTAGCCCTATATTTATATAGCAATTGTTAAAAAATAGGCCTTTATTGAACATTAAAAATGCGCTAATTAATTATATTTAAAACATATATTTATGTATAATAAATAAGAAAATTAAAATAATGCATTAATTTTTCTTACTTTATGCATAATTTATATAATATCTTTTATTTAAAATATAAAAATAAATAAATTTATTATATTAATTTTTTATTTCATATTTTATTATAAAATTATAATATTTTAATCATTCTAACAATATTATGTGTATTTTTAGGTTTTTAAATAATAAATTATTTAATTTTTAAATATAATAAATACTATTAATAATTTATCTTAATATTTAAAAATGAAAAGTCAATGAATAATATAATTTATATAATAAAATTTAACATTAATTCAAATCTATATTATATAATCATTTATATTTAATATATATTTAAAAAAAATAAATAATAAAAAAAAAATGAGTTAATATAAAATTATTAATTGAGTAAAAAAAAGAAATTAAGATTTATAAATTTCATTTTTTATTTAATTTTATAATTCATAAAAAGGCATAAAGTAATTAAATTTTATAAATATTTTATTTAATTTATACTTGAAAAAAAAAAAAATTATATTAGAAAATAAAAAAATTTAATTTTTTAAATTTAACTTTATATAAATAATAATTTTAAGTATCTTATTTTTGTATTTTTCCATTAACTAATTTTCCAATTCGAATAACTCTTTATTTCGATGAAAAAACACCTTTTTTATTTTAATATCGAAAAATATACATATATATATATATATATGTATTTTTATATCGATATACTCTGAATTTTAATAAATTTAGATATTTCAATAATTTAAAAAACTTTTTAGTTATAAACTAAGGAAATATATAATTTTTTAAATCCCATTCTATCCAGCATATTTATTCATTTGAGGAAACTTTTCCTGATCTTATTTTTATTAATTATAAATGCGGTTTCTGTATGATTATGAGTTACGATGTGCAACATCTTAAAATTGACATTTCGTCTTTTACTCATACATGATGGAAACCTTTTTTCCTATTATTGAAATTTCATTTATATCTCTTAATTATTCGGGAATATTTTTATATTTTTTATTCAGTTAAGGCTTTTTTAGAAGGAATAAGTTTTCACAAAATAACCCATTTAAATTATTTTTAATTTTTTAATAAATTTAATTCACAACAAGGAACTTTTTTTATTATTATTTAGGCGTAATACTTTTTCTTTTTTAAGTTTTTATTTAAAAGACCTAACATAATACGTCTATTTATATGACTGCTAAACGAACTAAATTTCCCTGTTTTTCACATAAAGAGATAATTTCCAAGTTTATAGCCGAAAACTCTGGTTTTTTTGAGTTTTTAATTGGTAATATTGATTTAATTTTAATTTTTAATAAAAAACTTGGAAGTAATGATATGAGAAAAAATAAAGAATTAACTTATTTAGAATTATATTTAATTTTATAAATTTATATATGAAAAAATAATATAATAAAAACATAATATAAGATATTTTGAATAAAAATAAATACAAACTAGTTATAATAATACTAACGGAACTTGAATGTGATATTATTTAAAAAAAAATGAGAAAATTTTAATAAATGGAATATTTTTTATTAATTAAATAATTAAATAGAGAATATAAATAATTAAATATATATATATTTATACGAAAATGTTAAAATTTTAATTTAAAACATTCTTTAGATATATTATTTAAAAAATATTATGGAATTAAAAAATTTATAAGGAAAAAAAAAACAATAAAAAGATATTATAAAGAGTCAAATTTATTATCAAATAAAATTAAATCAAATTAATTTATTAAAAAAAATAAAAACAAATAGAATAATAAATAAGAATTCAAGTTATAATTTAAAAATATTATCAAATATCATAAACACTCATAAAAATAATTAATAAGATAATAAAAAAATATAATAATTAGAATTTATCATATTTATATCTTCCATAAATAGTCTATTTTATTTAGAAAATATCTAAAAATTATAAATAATAAGACTCTGTATTTAAATTTAAGTAATTAAGGAGGAAATATTCTATAAAATAAGAAAATTTTCTTATTGTATTTTTTTTAAAGCAATTATTATTTTATGCATTGAGTTTTCGAAAGTTTAAGTATTTTATTTCTTTATATTTATAATAATTTAAGTTTTTTACTTGAAAATATTGGTAAACAAATAATATTTTTAGTCTAAAAATATTTATACAAGCTTAAAAAATGTAAGTAAAAAGATTTCGATTTAAAATATAAATATTGATTAATAATTAATATATATATATATATAATTATTTATGTATATTAATATTTGTTTTATACATATTTTTTGTAATATAAATTAATTAACTTCATTATTATATATTTTAGATATATTATTTAATTAATTTTATACTTATACTTAAATAATTTATTTTATATATTATATTATAAATAATATATAAATTATTTTTCTAATATTATTTATCTATTTTATCTTATTTTATTTTATATTTTATCTTAATTTATTTCGTTATTTTATTTTTTTATAATTTCTTATATTAATATAATAAATATATTTAAAAAATCATTTAATAACTTTTTGTATTTAAAATAAAATATATATATATATATATAAATATATATATATATAT